AATGTTTCGGATTTCAGACTGGTTAGGTTAGGTTATTTTATTTATTTTTTTTTTTTTACGGGGATTAGCCCACCTGGGCACAAGTCACAGACCCACATCAGGGCCTAGGGGGCGAAAATTTAGTAGTAGTAATAATAATAATAATAATAATAATAATAATAATAATAATTAATAATTAATAATATAATAATAATAATAATTCCTAGGTCTAGGTCGTGTTTTTCACTTTCGATCTTTTTTCATTCTTGTATTTCTTTATTATTATTATTTTATTAATATTTTTATTATTATTATTATTGTTATAATTATTATTGTTATAATTAGTACTGTTATAATTAGTATTGTTATTATTATTTTATTTTGGTGTATTTTTTATTAAAAATTTTGTTTACTATGAATGATTATTATTATTACGACATTTTCGCCCCCCAGGCCCCAATGTGGGTCAGTGACCTGTGCCCGGGTGGGCTAATCCCCCGTGTAAAATAATAATAATAATAATAATTTTTGCTCCACTAAAAAAAACTTTCGGTTTTCGGAATTTCGTATAAGGGATTGTCAACCTGTAGTTATAATTTGAGAACTTTGTATAGCAATAGTTTAACAATTTACCTTAATTATCAGTAATTTATATCTTACTTGTTCACAACTTGCTTTGTAACCAAGGAATTTTTCTTCTGGATAAACATTTGTAATTGTATTTTTTTTTTTAAATGTTGTACATGTTAAAAAAAATTTTCGAGGTAGTGTAACTTCACGGGGATATGTGACATTTGTGGCAACTTGGGGATGTGTGAGGCTCTTAAGAGCTATTTGTCTCCGAGGAGGCTGATTGATGCTCCCATAAGGTCTACATGATGCTTCTAGGGGTGCTCATAAGTTGCTAGTTGTGTACAACTAGTAAGGGCTATGTGATGACACCAAAGGCTGTCTGTTACTGTGAGGGACTGTGAGGCTACCAGGGGCTAGGTGCCGAGGCTTGTCTGAGCCCCCTACTATAGAGATAGGTGAGACACGTCGACCAAGGTACACTGGTAGCCTTGCATGATCCAGGTTGGGTTCCCCTTATGGGACCCTGTGTACACAGGTTGTAGTACCATAAGGGGAACCTAACCTAGCAGTAACACCCTCTGATGTCAATCATTACAATAAATATTGGAACTATTTGTATAGTAACTTACTGTGTCGTATAGATAAAAAAAATACATATTTTTCGTTTTTTATATTAATCCTAAGAAAAAAGTTGAAAACAAAAGGGTTCCAAAGGCAAAAATGATAGAGCCAACTTTTCTACTTTCCCAAAAAGTAGAAAATCTATTTACGATCTTTTGAGAATTATAAAGATTGAAAGTTCGAATTCTCAAAAGATCATAAGTTATTTTTTATCTTAAGCTCGAACTTACGATCTTTCTAATTCTCAAAGGATCGCAAGTTCGAACTTAAGAGAATAAAATAACTTACGAGTAGATACTTACAATCTTTTGGTAATTAGAAAGATCGTAAGTTCGAATTCTCAATAGATCGTAAGTATCCACTTTTCGGGAAAGTAGATTATCTACATCGATGTGAGCCTGCACTGCCTCCTGCATCGGATCTGGAAGTGCCTCAGGGGAGGAAGCTCGTGCCCAGTCCTCCATTAAAGAACAGGCAAGGGAGGTGGGGTCAGGGTGGGGAGGAGGCCTCCGTCGAGTACCCCGTATAGCATTTATCAGATTCCATACATATGAGGGTGACGACTGGAACGATAGAGCCCCCGTGAAGGATAGCCAGTCCGCCTCACGACTCAGCTGATGCTCCTGAGTTGCAAAGGAGCACCAGTTTTTTAAGTCTGCCCAGTCCTCTGGAGAGCGAGACCTCCGTATGGCAGAGTGGAGACCACGGGTTACCTGCCGGAGATGTCTCATGGCAGGGATACGATACCAGTAGTTGGTGGCACTTCTGGGGTGACGGGGAGGGCGTGGAGGGGCAGCGCGACTGACAGAGTCATACACGGCATCAACAAAATCACCACTGTAAGAATCAAAGGACTGAGGGACAACATAGGAATCCGCCCAGGTAGAAAAGTAAAGGAAGGAACAGCATCTTGTGTGAGACGAAGGCAAGGGGATCGATAAGGAGCTGATGTGGGGGCAGAGGAGAGCCTGAGATGGGTAGTAATGGCAAGATGGTCACTATACAGAGCAGGCTCGGTGCAGACAGTAGGATGAAAGGAGGTATGACCGTTCAATAGTAAGCCAACATCAAGGAAACTATGGGGGAGGCGAGTAGGATCGTCAGGACAAAGAAACCGAACATCATCATCCCCATCAAGAACTGTGGAGTGGGATAATCTGGAGTAAGAGTGGGATGGCAGGCATTAAAGTCACCAAGAACAATATTGGGAACCCCATCATGGAGGTCATGGAGAACCTGGGGGTCCAGAGAATCACTCCTGAAATGAACATGGACTACACGAAGGGTCCGGTCACCAAGAGTAAGGGAGACAAAGTAATTCAGATGGGGGTCCAAGTGAGTCGGGTGAAGGGAGACGAACAGATGGAATGGTGTTATGCACAAGGGTGAGGAGGCCACGAGCCTCCCCACGGTTCCGAGGCAGGGTGTAAACAGAATAGCCAGAGAGGCGGAGTGGAGTAACATCGTCTGTGACGGTTTCCTGAAGTAGAGCAACATCTACTTCATGGGAGAGCACAAACTGGGCGAGGTCTGTCCAGCGAGGTCTAAGTCCCTGGATGTTGCATTGTAAGAAGAGGAGGGAACAGCCTCCGGTGAAAGATGATTCAGTGGAGATAGACAGGGCTCCGGAGGAGGTACCAAATTCTGTTTAAGATATTGGAGAGGGAGAGCGAGGGATGGATCCTCCATCTCAGGAGAAGGAAGGAGGCTGGTCACCAGGGCTTGCAAAGTGCACCCCTGTTGGGTCAGGGTGTCCAGATTGAGTTGTTGCCTCTGCAATGTTGCAATTGTCTCCACAAACGAGTTGAGTTGGGCAGAGAGAAGGTTGATTTGCTTGGAGTGGAGATCCAGGCAGAGTGATTGTTTCCATAGAATCAACTTGGTGTACTTGTGCAGGAGCTGGAGGTGGCGGGGAGGGCCCGACTGGGCAAGAGGTGGTGGTGACGGAGAGGAAAGGTAAGGACTCGGGTGAGCAAGAGGTGGTGGTGCTGGTGAAAGACAGCTGGGGTCGAGGTGGGCGGGAGGTGGTGGTGGTGACTGTGTGGCAGGGTCGGCAACGACCTTGTTCCAAGAACGGTAGGGAGGAGAAAAGATGGGTGATAGGGGGGGGATGGTAGAGGAGAGGAGATCAATGGGAAATCCTTGGCGGATGGAAGAGGCGGTGGTGGATAGGAGTGAGGTTTGGTGGACAGAGGCTTCGTCAGAGATGAGGGCGGTGGAACAAGGTAAGCGTTCCCCGAGCGAGTGCCAGGACGCTGTGGGCAGTTGGCATTCCAGGTGTGGTGACTGCCATGGCAGTTCACATACAGTGAAACAACTGGGATTTTGTTCTGAATTTTCGCTTTGCATTCCACTGTGTCGTGAGGACCTGCACAGAAACCGCAGGTGATCATCCTCGTGCACTCCCAGGTGCGGTGTTTCCACGATTGGCAACGACCACAGATTTTCAGGGTTCCGATAAATCGGTCGAGAGGACAGTTGTGAATAGGTCCTACATTCGCCTTCGAGGGGAAGGGGCCCACCCACCAGCCAATGAGTTCGTTGGATGGACGTTTGGAGACCAAGTTGATGTGGTGCTCCATGTCAAGTAGTTGTGGGAGAAGAGGGCGAATATCATCGATAGGGATCTCCCAGGGTACGTGGCGAACCATTACCTTGGTACGACGAGTTTCTGGGGTGATGGTGGTGAACTTCAGCATCACCTCCCCTTGGGGAGCAGGAAAGCCCACTTGAGTGAGCAGGCATACCGTCTCGTCCATTTGTGTGGTGACTATTAAGGCTGTAGGACCTCGGGGGAGGCGAAGTGTTGAGCAGTGATGGAAGAACCAGGTCGTCCGTGGGCTCAGAGGCAAGTCCCGAGGAAAGGCGAGACGACGAAGGCGCTACGGGGCAGGAAGACGAAGGGAATCCCCTATGTCCATCGTCGGCGGAGGGTTGGTCATTGAGCCACATGTAAGCTCAATTGGGGACCCCAACAGCAGAAGGAGGTCACCCTCTACAGCCGCAGACGAGGTGCGAGAGGGAGCCCGAGTCCCTGCTGGAGACCCTGACTTATGAGGTTTTTGCTTCTTAGACTTGTCTTCAAGAGGAGTCATCATCATCACTGTCACCTACTGCCGCCGTCTCCAACGAACGGAAGCGATTAACGGCGGGCATAGGGCATGTTGGCAACGCTGCAGTCAGGTGGAGTGGTAAGACGTCACTGCTACGTCACAAACTGGAAAATCTTCGATCAGAGGGACCGGGTGGTAGGACCAGATGTTTTTATCAAACAAAAATGACAAAGTCCAAAGGTTAAAAACAAAATAGATGTCACCGTGCTGATAACTGGGTCTTACTATAGTTCTCTGCACAGACTGGGATTACCTGGTAGTAGACTCGCTGAATTCGTCAGAAATATGACTTTTAAGGAGCAGTCTCTTACAGCCTTTGTTGACGCCCACGGCATGCATGCGCGTTCTCTCAATCATTCTTTGTCATTTAAGAAACACCACTGTCTCCATGACTGGCTTAACCTATAACCAAGAAAATTGTAAGAAAAAAAATGGCATAACAGCAACGATTATAAACAACAATTCAACAAACAAATAAAATAACATAGTATAAAACAATAATGTTTAAATATAAATAGAAATTATTGATGTGTATATACAGTACAAAACTTTTGGAAGTACTGTACTGTACATAGATTTTATATAGATTTAAGATATTGAAACCCATCTTGGCATGTTCCTAAAACATTTAGTCTACTGTATATTTTGTTTGTCTTTATGAACTTTCAAATGTGGAAGGATTTTGCTATCAAGGAAGGTAAAATAAATACTCTATTAACCTGAAATTGTTTATTACTTGAACCAGTAGAGAGGAGAAGCAGTGGCTGGTACCCAAATGTGGTGGTTGTGGAGTAGTTGTGGTGGTGGTGGATTGTGGTAGTGGATTGTGGTGGCATGGCCTGGATCTGGTATTCAAGCTCAGCTTCAGGCAGACTGGTTGGTTACAGTAGAGGCATAATGCGGTAGGATGCCCCTCCAGGCTGGCCCAGGATTGAAGTGGTTACTTGGCTGAGGTGAGCCCCCCTTCAACAGCAACAGCGGCGCGAGGCACACGGTGGGAGGTGCAGAGGAGGCGGGATTGATGCTTTGTACACTGATGTGGAGCGCCGCTGGGTCAGGAGGACACAAAGACTGGGCAGATGAGCCAGACCTGTTGTACTGAGGCACCCTCCAAAACAGAGCCAATGTTGGTTCTGAGAAATGTGGCCAGCTGAATAAAACACTGATCAACCCCGGGACCAATTGACTATTGGATTTAGAGGGGAAGGGGGGTGGATAAAGTCAGAGGCACCTTGGAGAAGGGGGGAGGGGGAGGGGTTATGAGTGCCTGTCTGAAGGCGCAAGGCCCCACTGGCCTCGGTTACAATTACCCACCTGACTACCATCATCCAAAGTTGCCAATAACAATTGGCCAAACAGCAACATTTTGGACTCCATGGCCACCAGGCATTATATATGTAACCTTGAAAAGTCACTGGCACTCAACCTTTCCTATTTGATTTCAAGAATAAGCAATGTTCAAGTGACAGCACTCAAATCATTTCAAGAAATAATATAAGTCAATAATCCATATCTGATAATGATTTAAATAATCATTTATAACAATAAAAATGTTGTATCCTGGAACCAAATAGGAGAGACTGCTGTCTAATAAACTTATGGGCCACAAGGGGACACCTTGGAACAATGGAACCCTCAGCATGGCATAGATGGAAGTGGTGGGGTGAAGGTCTGGCGAGGACAAACATAGCTCATTTTATATTACAGAATCCCAGTCATACCCACACCCACACCACCTACATCTGCCGCCCACAGTGGGAGATACCGCAAAGTAGCTCTATGTACGTTAGCTACAGCTGTACGTACACTAGGGCTGCAAAGACGACACCTTCCAAACACCAGCGAGTGGAAAGAAAACCGTAGGGTGGAAAAATGCAATATATCCTTTTACCTATTATTCGAAAACAACAAATAATAAATATAATAGAAAGAAAGGGAAAAAAGAAAATTTGAAAGAAAGGAAAAATGGTAACAAAAAATATGAGAAGGGCTACGACAAGTAGGGTTGGGGGGGATGGAAAGGAGACAAAATAGACAAGATAAATCTGGGGTGATATGTCAAAAAGCAAGTAAGCACTGAGCACTCGACAAAATATTAATGTTATATGAAGAAAATATATTCTTCAAATACAACTTAATAGATTTAAAACATCCTTTCTTTCCACCCGGAAGTCTTCAAGTGCTGCACAACTAATTCCAAGAAGTGAACCATGATGGGTAAGAAGTCCTCATACATAATCTAAACATAACAGCTAAACAAACTTGAAGAGTACTATGAAAGGAGCCCTTTGCCTGAATACTTGCAGAAACAAAAAATGTGCCAATTTGGATATGCAGGATAGATTAATGTGTGTTTTTAATAAGTGTGATAGTGAATGTGGGGTTGCAACTTCTGAACTCCCAGACCAGTAAAACGATTTTTCATCAGATCATATTTTTCTACAAGCATCCAGACGGAGGGGCCCGAAACCTGTCATCTGAAAGGTTATCCAGTGAGGAAACTGTTACATACACTAGCGCAAAACCAAGTGCTGTTTATAATCAGACGACAAATGTGGTACCATTGGCGATTTTGAATGCAAGATAGCATTTCAATAGGACTTCAAATTTCTGTTGCAATTAGTAAATGAATCACTGATGCAATATTTAAGTATCATAATCACCAATCATATCATATACAGTCCAGTGGGAATACAGGCAGAATAGAATTTTTTTCATAACCGTAATCAAACAGAGCATCTACATGGAACGCACCTACAACCAACATGTATCTGCAGAGGCTTTGGCCTGTACTCCACAAACATTACTTAAAACCAGCATGGCAGAGGAAAATAGTAAACCAATTAGATCTAATAACAACATTTACAATTAACACAGCCAATCACATTTCAAAGCCAGTCTATGCAAGAATCTTTAGCTGATTTCAAGTTATGTTTTAGAATCATGGCCTTCTTGTTGCCCAACACTGAAGGCACAGAAGGGGAAAGGGCATGGTATAGTTAACTTAAAACAAGCCCAGTTGTGGTTCTAACAACCCAGTATTTTTAATAGCTGCTATGGGCTATGGTACACCAACAGGTGCAACTCCCTAAACTTAATTGGTCATTGAGAAGCAGTTGAGAGCTCTGAATGGTATGTTGTTGCGAACACTCACACAGTTACCAAGAATGCTGGGATACCAGTGAAGCCACAAATTAACTAGCCAGTATCACATATGGAAGTTTCCTTTACTATACCCTTAACACTTCCATTCTTTGTAATGGGGCAATCAGCAGCAGGTCTCAGTCCCACAGCATCCTAGCAAGTCCTCAATTATTAATTGAAAATTAGGTACAGCAACAGCTGATAACACACATGCAAACACCCAAGAGACTCTCACACAGAATGGGTATGTAACAGGATCAGCTGATCATACACATACCTTTAGGTTAATAATTTCTTGGCTGCCTCTTAAGCGTAACTGGAGAAAGTGGTCCAAATTCATGCATATTTACATATATTTCAAACAATTCAAGTGCTGATCATGTCTCATACCTTTTAAAGGCAAACATTGCAACCATTCCCCTTAGTACAATGCAAAATTGATTAGTATCTCTTGGTGCTTTCATCAACATTAAATAAAAATAGGAGAAGCTTACACAGGATAACACAAATGGTAGAAGGGAATTTCGCATAAAGTTTCAAATGAGGAATTGCTCTGGTGCTGCAGGGATGAGGGTTGGCATAGGAGTGAGGTAGCACAGGTGGGGTGGGGGTGAGGTGTGCGCCCCGTGCCGCCACCCCACAGTCACAGATGCAGCACATGGCACACCTGTGCTGCATCAATCAGCTTCTAGAGTCACCTGAGTGAAGTATTTCAATGTTCATGGTACTACAAAATCAGTGGGCATTTCATATAGAGTATACATCATTTCCTGTTTTGCATACATTGTTTTGTTTTGTGAGTTCGGAATTTTGATCCCCTGTAATAGTTTCTTAAAATTTCCTTGTCAAACTGTGGTATGGTGTCTACCTTTATGGAGTAGCGGAAAACGATGCGACTTGAACGCATGCCAAGTCCCCCATTGAGTCAGTCTAGGATCTACTGACCTGAAGAGAGGTGGTATGTGGAGAGTGCTGACAAGGCTTTTTTTTTATATAGCATTTTCCATGCTACATTACAATATTTTCCTTCATTAAAAAAAATTTAACAAAAAAATTGCTCCAACAATGTATCAAAAATAAACTTTGCTATAACTTTGCGTACAAAAAAGACCATATTATAACAATGGTCCATTATATTCCACAAACTTTTGTACTAGTTAACTAAACAGCGGAGCCCTGATATCAACAGTGCCCACACTAACTAGACGAGCAGACAACACCACTTCAACACAAGCCACTGGGCTAAAAGTTGCTTGGTGTCTAATGACTCGTCTTTGCTGGCCGCGAAATTGACTGGTGCAGCCAACAAGTGTACACAGGGGGTCAGAACTCAACACAGGAGCCTCAGGTGCATTCAACGTATGCACACACATGCCTACGTGCACACAAATGTGCACAAGCGGCTTGGGTACTACACAACACAATGCTCTCTCAGTTACTTGATGCACCTTTGTCACAACTCGTGTCTGGGGCCCAGGACGGGTGACAGCCAAAGCAAGCGCACATCACACTCATTGTATAATGACAAAGGTATTACCTGAATATCTCTTTAAAGGCAATCACTAGAAGCATTTCACATCCGCTGTAAACAAAATCATATTCTATGATAAACAAAACAAGACCCTACATATACATCAACGCAAATCAATCCAACAGCTACAATGCAAATACTCTACTTCAGACAATCCCCCTGAGATACGTGATGCGTTAGTCAAGCTCAGGTCAACCAGCCTGGGCCCCAGAGGCAAAACAAGCAAGCAAGCGAGGTCAAGTGAGGGAAGCCGCCGACACACACAGTCAGTCCTAAGCTCCAACATCTCCGTCTCTTTGGTATGTTGCTTGGGGCGTGGCGCTGGCATGTGGGCAGGACTTGGTTACGATGTCATCTCTATCAATGACCTCACTGCATTCGTGATGTCAAGGGTACCCGGCTAAGACGCCCACTGCTGGGAGCTGTTGACATCTGGATGATAGCTCTGATACGGCGTTGGGCTGACTGTGGATCAGAAATCATAAGCATTAGTACAATATTGAACAAACCTTTATCTTATTTAACCAGTACAGTAATTGCAAAAATCTGGTTGAAATCATAAACAAATCATGTGGATTTAGCCTTTCACATTGTTAGTCCTGTAAGTGTCTGTCTTCAGCCAATCTCAAGAATAAAATGGAGGCATTTTCAGGTTTCAGAACAGTAACACTCATGTCAGTAAACATGGATCTTTTTGCCAAGACTTTCTCTGAAACTTTCCTTCAGAAATTCCAACCAAATAACCAAAACACTATTATTACATAACAATCATGTTCCCTACCAGTCTCAAGAAAAAAAAAATTGCATGTGGAAAACATTGATAATACAGACATATTCGTGGGAAAAAATAAAAACAATCAGGAAGTGAAAAGAAAAAATGGACAGAGGAAGGAAAGAAATAACAGAAGGAACGGGTAAAAATAAAGATTATAATTTTTTTTTTACTGTTTCATCAACAACTCCAAATGTTACAAAATATAGCAACACCCCAAGACATAATAATAAAAGTAGTGATAAATGCTACAGTATGAAACTACGGCAACTACTCACTACTACTAGTGGCCTAATATTAACTACTGTATATATAATATAAACAAACAAAAAACTGACCTGTACAGAAAAGAAGGGGCCTACGATGTGGACGGTAGTTTCTTCTGAAGTAGTGGATCCTTGCTGAGGAAGCTTGATTACTGAACCTGTTTGACGCTGAAGGTCACGCACATTTTGACCTCCTTTACCAATTATACGTCCAACCTGTGAAAGATGCAAGTAAATAAATACTGTATGCAATCCTGCAGATTTATGAACAAACATGTCAGTGCAAATGGTACTGTCACAATACCATTAAATTACATAACCAACATTAGATTTCATTTCTTTAGGGCTTGCAGTATGTTGCTTCAACACAAGGACATCAGCAAAACATTTTGCTGTTCTAGCAAGTCCTATCTGAACCAAAAATTACCCAAAGAAGGAAGTTAATTTTCATTAGGGGTGCACCGAATAAGGTATCCGGCCAGATAATAGCAAATGTCCAATATCCGGCCAGATAATAGCAAATATCCGATAGCCGGCCAGATACCTCTCTTACCCAGCCGGATAACCAAATAATAACTGGGTTACTAGTGGCTTTTCTTCAGCAGAATAATTTGATTGGTGTTAACCAGAAGAATCTTTCCTTGCATTTTACAAAAGAATCTATAAGGGTACCAATATAAAAAGGTAGGTTAAAGGTAAAATTAATTTTACTTTAAAATGAAAAAATTTGACTTGGTTCCAGCTGGAAAAAAATAAATTATTGGTACCTGAAGTTGAAACCAATCTTAATTATTATCCAAGTAAAATTTGCAACAACTATAGCATTTAAATTAATCATATAAAGCAATAGGTTGTGAATTGTTGCTATTAATATTATAATTAGGAAAATTAGCTAATTAGCTATTTTATGCCAACATAAATTCTACAAAATGAACCAAATTCAACATGGTGCTATCAATTGTGTACAGTAAACCCTTGCTATTCGCGGGTTTGCAATTCACGATTTTGACTATTCACAGTAAGCAGATGGTAGCTAGCTTACGAGCCTGCCTCCAGCACAACGAGTCACCCCATGTGCCTGCAGCATCTCCTCACTGCGCTCAACCATTGCCTGTGACACAGCATCTCGTGTTGTACAGTACCGAAAACCTTAGTGCTAGCTGGAATTCCTCAAACCCGGAACTCTCCAATAGCTGGAATTGAAATTTGCTTGGAATTTTGGGGGAAAATTCACTAAATTCTGGGTTTGGGAACAAATTCTGAGGCTGAAAATCAAAAGCATTTTCTGAGAGAGAGAGAGAGAGAGAGAGAGAGAGAGAGATATAAAAAAATTTATTTCTGGGTCTGGGAACAAATGTCGATCGAGAAATAATGTGCAATTTCCTGAAAATCTGAGAACATCACTCAAAATATGTCTGCTCAGCGCCTGAGGACAAGGGTTTCCAGCATTATGAAAGAATGCATCATATTTAGCTGTATCCTCACATGGTTGGTGCATGGGTGGGTTGACCAACAGCTTGGGTAATGCTGGATTTTTCTGCTCTTGGTCTATTTATAATTACTGTGCAAATATAAATATTTCTTTAAATGTACATAAAACAAAAAATAAATAAATAATGCAGTGATAAATCAATGTAATTCCGAGCTGAGCTAACAAGGCAAAGGGTGAGGTGATGGAGTCAGGTGGTGAGGTGACATGCCAAGACACTAACACAGCACACACATTAACAGCTAACCAGACGACTTTCTCAAACCCAGGAAAATTCCTTATCCCCGGAATCTTTTCCGGTTACTGGGAAAAGTTTATGAGTGTCTGAAGTAGACATCTTGCACACACAGACACTGGCCCACTTCCCCAGAATGTTTCTGGGTGCTGGGGATGTTTTCCTCTAGTCTAAACTACTGGAGTCCGTAAATGCAGTTCTAATTAAGTTAGAAACTCCATTTCTTTACTATAATAATCCAGAATAGTTTATCTAAAAGTTTGGTTCAATAAATATATTTAAAAAATAAAAATCTATAGGATATGGGTGTGAATGAAACTGTGTTACAGCAAAGACTTATTTTCCACTCCCATGGAGCTGTGGGGGATTAATGGGTTTCATGTAACTGACCTGACCTGATGCAATGTCAGGTGGAGGTAGGGTGGGGGGTATAGTGGTCTCATTACTAACCTTCTGATGGAATGTCAAAAAATTATATTTCGGAATATAAAATATTTTTCTTTTATTTAATTTTCCTCAAAATACATGAGTATATGAAGAGAAATTGTAAACGGGCAACTGGCTCAGTGCCTGCATGTGGTGGTGTGATTGACAAGTCTACGTGTCTTTATGTGAGTTTGAGGAGTAAACTATACAGTGACTGTAAAAAAATTATCAAACATGGAAAGATTATTTGTAGATATAATATCATTGAGTGTTTGAGAATAATGAAGTAAGTTAGTGCAAAGGTACTTGCAGAAACTAATAATATAACCAAGTTGAGCTCAAGAAATATAGTTTATTGCATGTTTTCCTTGGACACAAGTTCATGACAGTATCCACTTTATGTAATTAGCCATTTTAAAAAAGGACTCCTGGTCCCAAACATTTTGGATGACAGACTCTAGTATATGCAGGTTAAAATTTGTGAAGAAGTTTTGAAATTTGTCTCACATCTTAAGTGTCATCAACTCACCTGTGATGATGGAACAACAATCTCCACAGTTAATCGTACATCCTCTACGCCAACACCATAACCTTCCTCACGTATCTTCTCAAAGATCAGGAACTGTGCCTGGAAAAAGAAACCAATTCTACAAACCACAAAACTTATGAACTACTGTGACAATAAATGGCACAATTACAAAACATAATGAGCCTCAAGCCAAGTGTTTGCAACAGTTTGGCAAGTAAATAATAAAAATAAAAATGACAAATCTAGTTTGAAAAAATGCACTTGAAATGAATATGTACAGTACACACATTATAAGAAATAGGAAAATTTACACAAATTAAGACAAGTACATGAAATATTGTAGAAGTGTTTTTTGGGAATACCTCATTTATTGCAAAAGATGCATTCCCAAAAGTCATTAAGAAAAATGAATTTGCAAATATTGGGGCAATTTTCCCCCAAAAATCAAAGTACTGTATAGTAATGGTGAGGGGGGAAGGAGGTGCAATGGAGTCATTGGGAAGGGCACTACAGGACTGTCTTCCACCTTGTCTTGTAAATCATCATCTGCTTCAGGCTCTGCTCTGGGGGTCAAACAATTATCCAAAATTGTTTGACATGTACAGCCCATTTTCTCTTTGCACAGCTCACTGTAGCAACTTTGAGGTACGTTCATGATTGGTATCACTAGCAGTAAAGATATGCAAACCTTCCTCTATACATTATGTGCAACCCTTTAAATATTTGCTTTGTAGTCAACTGAAGTGAGGTGGGTGGAGCTTCTATATCCTCCTCTTCTCCTGCAGCTTGCTCTTGTTCCAACAACATCAGTTCCTCATTAGACAGATCTTTTCTATAGGACTATAGCAACTCATTCACATCATCTTCTATGATTTCTGCAAAGCTTACATCATTTGTAGGTGTCAATGTGTTACTGAACTAGATGTATACAGTACTTTCTGCTTGGGGAAAACCTTCACAGTCATGGATACACTCTGGCCATGTGTTTGTCCAAACACCAGTCATAGCTGATGATTTCACTTCATCCCACAACTCAGCTATGCTCTCCAGTGTCCATGATAAAACTTTTTCCAGAAGTTGCTACTGTAGGTTTACCCTCCCTATCAATTGCTTTTATGAGTTGTTTAATAGTTCTTCTTAGATAATATGCCTTGAAGATTACAATCACACCTTTATCTATTGGTTGGAGCAAGGCAGTTGTGTTCTTGGGGATAAACTCCACTCTCACATGATCAGAAAGATAATTTAAGTTCATTGGGTGGCTTGGTGCATTGTCTCAGAGGAGTAATGCTTTGTTGGGTATATTATGCTTGTCACATCTTTCAACACCAGGGTAAACATAATTAGTGAATCAGTCTTGAAAAAACTCATTAGTCATTCAAGCCTTCTTATTTGAACAAATAATAGATAGATTAAGCTTGGTGTAACCCTTGAAAGCCCTTGGATTTTCAGAGTGATACACGAGTAAGGGCTTTAATTTCATATGAGCAGCAGCATTTCCTCCCACAAGAAGAATTAGGCAATCTTTTGAAACTTTAAAACCTGATGCTGACTTTTTTTCTGAGAAATAAATGTCCTATCAGGCATGCACTTCCAAAAACTCCGTTTCATCCATCTTGTACACTTGCTCTGGTATGTAGCAACTTTCATCAATAATTTTCTCCAGCCCAATAGGATAATTACGTAGAGCTTCTGTGTTGGCACTTGACCCTTCACTGATATTCTTAATGTTATGCAAATTCAGGCACTACTTAAACCTTTCAAACCAAGCTTTACTAGCCTGAAAAGGTTTTTCTACAGAAATTGCACCCTCCTCTTCCTGCAAATCAATATACAAACTTTTGCTTTCTCTTGAATGATCACGAATTTATTGGCACACTGCATTGTTTGTGATCTTCAATCCACACACACATGAGCTGTTTCATTTAGCATCACATCACTTCTATGAAAATAAAATGTATGGGCAGTTAAAGAAGTAGGTGCTTGAGCACTTGACCAAATTTTGTCTTTAATTATCATGCATTATACCCACTGTAGACATAACAAGCTCTAATGTTTTTTTTTTTTTTTCAATCTGGTTAAGTTTTTTGCTTGCATCAAACCTCCGTAAAGTATCGTTTTATATCCAACATTAATTCCTTTACTGGCGCTGTTTTAGCACCACTGCTTTTACTTGCACTTGATGGTCGCTTTCCACTCATCTTGAATAAGGGTAAATCAAAGAGCTGGGCTCGAGAGATCAAGCATACACACTGGGAGATATAAACACAAAAGAGTACGGCGGAGTGGGTTTCCTACTACCCACACTTGGTGGTACATGTAGTAAACACCAAGAAATTCACACCAAATAAATCAAGTAGAGATATTTTTCCCCTATATGGTGATATTTGTGTTGAAATTTTACTCCATTTACGTAAGGTTGAATTTACAGGCTGTATCCAATGTTTAGTGATCATAATTTACAAATTCTGGAAGGACAAATTTCCGCAACCTGAATTTCCATATAGTGGGGGATATCTGTACTGCCATTTTAAGGTGGTCACGGAACTGGAATGGGAATTTTCCACTTGGTTCAGCCAGCAGCCCAACTCTCCTACCTCCTCTCTCACACAGCATTAACTTCCCACTCCTCAATTTTCTTACTTTATAGTTTTTGTTATACTGTACCTGTATTTTCTTTATTTCTAAGTCACAGTAGATAATTATATTACAGTATTATAGTTGATTATTTGAGAAATCTGAGGAGCAGTTTGGTATAAGGCGAATTTTAGTAAATAGAGGTAATACTGTATTATATTCTGGGTCAGAAACTTGTACATTTTCAGTAGATATAAGATAAGAGTCTTTGAAATGTGGTGCCATAGAAAAATGCTAAAGATAAGGTACACTGACAGAAAAAACAAAGTTCCTAAGATTGGTAAGAACAAAGACAAAAACTTAATTTATAGATTCAATCACAAGATACTTTGGCCATATACTTAAGGACAAAGGGATATGATAATGGTAGAAATATAAATGGGCAAATTAAGAGTTGGGAGATCAGGAGAAGGCAAAGACTGAGAAGGATGAATGATATTAAAAGCTATGTCCCCAAAGATGCAAAACCTAGGAAGACTGATAAAGATACCTTGTAGTGTGAAACTACTGTATGAAGAACAGAGAGCCATAGTTGCCAATCCCCAGACATGAGGGTAGCACCCTGATGGATTGAAAATACATCAAGTAAGGTACAATTACATACCTTCCACTGAGCTTCTGGCGTACCAACAATTGTTACTTTTCTTTCAGTTTGTTCTGTGGGTCGTCCTTCTTCCTCCAAAGGTGCAATCTTCACAGATGCTCCACTAAACCGAATAATGTTGCGAATATGTGAGCCTTTTGTTCCAATAATGGCGCCAACAGCAGAGTTGGGGATATAAAGGAATGCCACTTCCTGTTAATATAAATTAATATATATTAGTTTCTTTATGAAAGTACCAGTAGAAGATGACTGCTAAATGTCAATAAGTACCAAAAGTATCCCCCAAAAAAAAAATAAATAAAAAAACATAAATAATAATAATGCCAACAATATACAATTCTCATGACCTTACAGTACAGTATAGTGAAAGTGGGTCCCATAGGCATGACTGCCTGTTAGGGACATGAAAATACAGCACACTGTATACCAAGCCTTTGGTACACAATGAGGCAGCATGGCCAATACTGCTCTCAACCATATTCAGTAACCCAAGTTGCAAACTTGGGTACTCATTTATCGCTGGGTGAACTAGGAGTGCCCAAGAGTCAAACCACTGACCCCTGAAACAGGAGGAAAGCATTGTATCCACTTGACTGCCACACTCCTTTGACTTTATAGAACCTTTACTTTAAAAAATAAACACCAATGTTCATAAATACCATTAGCATTGAGGTAATTTTCATGATACATTCATTCATCAATTAAACTGTTGCATTGAATTCTATAATGTACACCACCAATTTTGCAGAGCAACATTTACTGTAGTTTCTTCCCAAAACAGCTTGGTAACCAACCAATTACACCTCCACATTACAGTATTCAAGGAACCAGAAACAGTGTGGTTCTTGTGTTGGGCAGGCAGTCCTGCTAGTCTTGAATTTGAATTTCCATATGAATAAGCAATGTGTAACATATCCATTGTGGAGCAGTACTAGTATATTAGTATAACCATTTCCTCACTGGCTTGTCATAAAAGCACACTTACTTCACAAATACCTTAACCATAGAGGAACAGGTTCCTATACTACCTCAATCAGTCTTTGATACCAGGCCAATGTGGCTGATGCCCTGGGCTGAATTTTAAATACCATGATGTTCTAAGGACACATCACTTGCGTAAATGTCACAGTCAAGAGACACCCTCTGTGAACCCATCCTAGTCCACTACACAGCTCACACACATGAGCACTTGTGAAGGGGGTGAATTTTGTTTGTATAAGCTCTCAAAATGAGTTTAAATAAAATTTAATCTCAGCTGGGAAAAGTACAATCCCTTTAGGTATCACCCACAAAAATATTCACAGTCAACATCTGAAGTTATCATAAGTACTCAAGAATGAAGAACTAATTCTTAAGGCTATTTTAACCCCATGGATGATAAAAAAAAACAAAAAATCTTTCAAATTACTGCACATACAAGAACAACTCTATGCTCTAATGATAGGGTAACAAATTTTTCACCACTTTCTTAAAATCACATTTAAAGTATTTTTCTTTAACTTTTTTTTTTTAAGGATTTTCTTGCATTTCACTTTTGTTTCCTTATTTATATTAATTATTTATTTTTCACATTTCAAATTTACTACACAATTGTTACTGGAACATATTTCATTTAAGTTTTAAAAAATATAATTTTCACTATTTTTAAAGCAAAATAATAATTTTTTTATTAGCCCTTATCATCTTTCTCCTTCCCATTTGTAATTTCCTAACCACATTTCAACTTCAAGACTTTTTTCATTTTTCAATTACTACAGACTACGGGGTTTTATGAGTTACTTACAATACTCTTCAAATTCATGAGCATATTTTTTTTCTTCCCCCAAAATGGTTAAGTGATCTAAACTGACAACAAATAGGATAAACATTTTACAATAATAATTTGTTTAAAAAAATAGCACTTTTAAAATGATAGCAAGATAAACAAATAAAAACAGACAACAAGTTACCATTACCTCGCACACCTCTGAACCTTGTGAACCTTGTTGACCAGGTATAGGTGTTGGATACAGTGGTGGATACGAGGTTGGCGATGACCCATACATGCCCATGCCGGCACCACCGCCACCACCACGTGGCAGACCAAATCCTACAGTGGACATCATGGCCATTGGATGTAAACCAGGGAACATTGCACTCTGAGGAGCGAAAGCCTGCAGATCACTCTCGTAGCTCGTCCTCAAGCGGGCACTAATCATATTCTCTGCCATAGCTATATCTTCAATGTTACCCTGCAAAATAATTAATCCATATATCAGTTTCAATTAAATATACAATAAAGTAGGTCAAATAAATGCAAACTTGTTAAATGGATAGATGCTTTTAATACAATGGTTATTTAATTTCCTTGTACAGTGGGGTATGCTATAACGAACGGATCCTACTACGAATATTCCTATAACAAACGGTTTTACCTATAAAATTGAGAATGCTATAACGAATGAAACTCCTACAACGAACATTTAAAAAAAAAAAAAAATTTTTTTTTTTACTAATTTATTGTTTTTGTATTACAAGTATTAATGATATTCTTTATTTCAGGGGTTTAGATGCATATTTATGCACTTTTTTAAATTTTTTACAATTTTATAGTATATTTTTCAGTGTTAAGTGGTTGTATTTGGGGGCCTGGAACGGATTAATCCTATAACGAACAAGGTTCTAGAACCAATTAGATTTGTTATAGCATACCCCACTGTACATCTCCCTTTCAAATTATATTCCACAATAATTTAAGAGCAAACAGACACAGGCTTTTCACTCATTCTTACTGCTGTAACAAATGTGATTTGCTATGGTATTCCCCTTCCACAACAAGGCCCCAGATATCTCTCAGGTTATGAATGTCACTTAAAAGTTTCACATTTACAACAGGCTAATTCTCAACAGTATTTTCTAAGTGGGTTTAGGAATGAATGGTGTGATATTAATGTAGGAGTGTGCTAGAGCAGTTACACTATATGGATGTGGTAGTGGGAGAAGGACAAGGTGAAAGATGCACACAAACTGAGAGAGATGGACAGTCAGGAAGCAACAGAATGTAAAAATGGGGGGAACACCTCTGAGTGATTATTATGAAAGGACATATTGCTGATGGGCGATGTTGACTTGTGTAAAGCGACTTAACTAAAGGTTTGAAGATTTATTTTTGAAAAGGTATACCAAATGAGAATACATTTTCCAGTAGTAAGCATGAATGAATGAAAACAATGAAGGGAGGGAAAAGTGTGTTTACTTGTTCATTTTGTCACCCACCATTGTGCAAGAAATGGCTAGAAATAATATACATATAAAAATCTGTAGTGATATAGGAATTAAGATGTTAGAGATATGTTAGGAAAGACTGGCAATGGCCAAGCAAAATTTGAGAAAAACAGAACTTGAGTACTGTACTGTGCTATATAGAAATGAAGATAATTCTCAGGAAAATGAATAAAAGAAACATGTGTAAACTGAGATAGTTCCTCAAACATGTGTGGATTAAAGTACTGTATTGCAATCTATCCAAGATTTATGGGAACACTTTTGCAGACACGACCGGGAAAGGTAGGCTATGTGCCAGGTAAGACCTAAAATGTGATGAGGTTTTTATAACATCTTATCCAGTGTACTGTACTAATTAATGGCAAGTTATTCATTTAACAGATTACTGCCATACAAGTTAAGGAGGAACAGCAATTAGATGTATCACAGTTATTCACAGATAATATAATGAAACTGTAAGAGGTGGACACACATTACAAACGTATGAAAAATTGAGGCTGTTCACTGCTGGGAAGAATCAAGAGTGAAAAGTGAACATAGGTCCTATAGGCTGGGTGAACTGGGAGTGCCCTGGGAACAAACCAGCAACCCTTAGGGAAAGGAGATGAGTGCTGTATCCACTGCACCACAAGAGAGATATGGAGGAGATAAAATACAGTTTTGTTTATTTGTCAGAGCAACAAAATTAATATGAAATTCAGTTATTCAAACATGTCTGTGGATAATAAACAGGTAAACCTGTTAAAGCAGAGGACAAAATTCATCCTTCCCTAAACATTCTATTCCAAAATACAATGAACCCTCGATGATTTGGACCCAGTAAATTTGGATTTCAAAAGATTTTCTGAAAAAATTTGGGGGTTCTGAAGGCTAAGAAGCCTCCCTGAGAAGCATTCCCAAAACAGAGCAAATCTCATCTTAGACCCATGTAACCAAGACATAGATGCCCGAGGAGGTGGAAAACAAACAAAATTGTAAATTGTTGTTTGTGGGAATATTATTTCCTTCGCTCTAGTAATGATACAATGTTTCTTATTATGTCATCGTAGGTAATTGCATGGTTTAAATGATTTGTTTATCACTGAGCCCGTCCCCATTTTCAAATTAGATTACAAGATATGTATTTCTCCCATACTTATTTTGATCGTACGCCAGGCAACAGGAGCGAGTCAGGGGAGTGAGTGACCGCTAGTTAGCGCATCGTCTGCTGTTATAACTCTCCTCGCTCCCTTCCATATTTCACTGATTTACTGTTATTATTAGTGTTTACAGTGACCCCTCGTTTAACGAACGCCTCGGTTAACGAAATTTCGGTTAACGAACTGCCTTCCATAAGGATCTTCAATTCGGTTAACGAACAAAAATTCGGTTAATGAATTTCTTACGAACCGACCTCAACATGTTTTCGCTTGCACTGGCCGGGCAACCAGCTTTAGTATCAGTCCGCCAATACATTAATCGGTTCTAGGGCTTAAATTCCTTACTATTTTAGTAAATATCAAGAAGTTTATAATATTCAATAATTTTAAAAGTTTAATATTAACTTTTTTAGTCATTTTAACAATTATTGAACATAATTGAAGGTAAAGAAACTAGTTTCTGGCGTGCCATCCAGCCTGTTAACACACCAGACAGGCGTTAGTCTCTCTCTGTTTTCAGTGGAGGTAACATCTTGCTTGAGACTCTCTTCAACTAAATGCTTTTTTTCTGTGTTTCCAAGCAAATTATTGGTCATTTTGAAATATATTTTACATATTGACAATATATAATGCAGTGCAGTGTTGATTTAAAGAAAATAATCTTGAAATACACCAAGAGAACTAAAATTTTATGGGTGAAATGGTGCCATGGGGTGACTTCTCTTCCACCCCAATGCCTTCTCTTCTTCCTTCTCCTCCACCCCCATTCTAATTCCCATCATCATCATCATCATCATCCAGGAGCCTTCTACATACACACCTCAAAGTAAGTGAACTTTTCTACCATTTTTGTTGAATTTAGGAAATTTTCGGTGAGCTGGAACCAATTACCCAAAAACCCATTGAAACAATGGTTTCGGTTAACGAACTTTTCGGTTAACGAACGACCTTCTGGAACGGATTGAGTTCGTTAACCGAGGGGTCACTGTACTGATATAATAGTGTTTATTAGTGATTAATCATGGCAATGTAATCAGGTTAGACTCATCACTGTAACCACCATGCTACTGAGCCAAGCTGTGGGGTGTTATGGTTATTTTTAAACTCATATTTTTGGGCAGATAGATGTAGCTTTCTTCATTTAACTTTATTCAATTAAATAAACACACCATCCTACATACATACTGTGAAAAAGAGTAAAATAAATAACCGTCCTAATGGCAAACATAAAAAGGGAATACAGTAATACCTCCATTAGCCAGAATCCCTCAAACCTGGAACTCTCTGATAGCCAGAATTTAAATTTTTTCGGAAAATCATTCCAAAAGTCAGGGGACCGGTGGTAGATGCGGTATCGTTCTTGCCTCATAAGCGAGATGTCACGGGTTCGATTCCCGGGCCGGTGGAAGTTGTTTGGACTTACTTCCTAGCCCCCATTAGTCCCTGTTCACCTAGCAGTAAAGTAGGTACCTGGTGTAAATCGAAAGTTGCGAATTCATATTCAGGGAAAGTTGTTGGAGCTTCCAATAACTTGATGACATAAAACCACTGACTCTTCAGGCTTCTACGCCCTTAACTCGTGAGACATAAAGGCAAGCATGAACTTAGCATGCTTCCCTGTTGGGCGCTGTAAACGCTTCTGCGCTTCACCTTACACAAGGATGTAGGGGGGTGCCCAATAAATAAATATAATAAAAAATAATAATTCCAAAAGTCGGAATTTTCAGGAAAATTACGATAAAATTTTCCCAGTACCCGGAAAATTCTGGGGATAGGGAAGTTTTTTCTGGGTACCACACCGAGATGAAAACCAGGCGCACTTTCCGGAAATTCCGAGAAAACTTTTCCAGTACCCGAAAAATTACAGGTATGGGGGATATTTTTCTGGGTTCGAGAGTTGAAATAATGCATCATTCTGGAACTTCCGAGAACCTTTTTCCATTACATGGAAAATTCCGAAAATTTCCAGGGATGAAGGATTTTTTTCCAGCTTTGAGAGTCGTCTCATTAGCCGGAAGTGCTCAGCACCAATTGTTCCGGCAAACGGAGATATCACTATACATTTCTTTATACACGAGTTAGCTGGCTCACAAGCAGGGAGTGTATGCAAATGGCAACTGGATTAAACTTTCATTTGGCTTTGATTTACTGGTCTGGCAGTACAGTACATTTTGTTGTAACTTATTTATTGATATTATTTTATTTATTCCTCACATTTACTGCACTGGTACTGCATATATTATTTTAAGAAAACTATGGCTACAGGAGGAAAATACACACAAGTATGTTTTCCTAAACACTCCCTGCTAAAATGAGGGTTGTGTCTCATATACTGTGTGCCATAAAATACGGGACTGTATTTTAAGTGTTTTTATATAATTATTTATAATTTTTATACATTTAGTACATTCACCGGAAGATACGGACATTCAGCTTTTGCAGACAGATGGTCGCCCCTTTTAGTCCGGATCTTCGAGGGTTCACTGTATAGGAAACTGAACAGGTTCATCAAGCATAAAATATCCATTTACTGTAATTACATGCTGAATTAATGCATTCACATTCCTTAAATGCTTTAAGATTCATCACTTCGCAGAGTAAATCAAGAGATTTGTACTTTTAATAGGGAATTTGACTTAAAGTACAGTTCACCAACATATTCCTTGACTTTAAATTGCTTAGTTCATTTTTTAATCTACAGAACTCACATCAATTATTTTTACCAACCATTTATAAAATGTTCTAGACACCAACACCATTCTATAACACTTTTCATCCATGTACCTATATCAATATTCATCAATCCAGGGAGGTCTGTTACTTATGTTGATTTTGATCAACTTTTAATAAGAAAGGTTAGTTCATATCCATTTTGAGGGAGATGGAATAAGCACTCACTCATAGAAGCTCACAGCAAATTTCACTCTACAGTACTTTCTCATTACAGGTAGTCCTCGACTTACGACCTACTCGACATATGACCATCTGGACATACGACCACCTCAGTCGGACCAAAAAATTTTCAAATTAGGTACATATTTTCCAGTACCGAAACGTTTCCGTCCCATACGAGAGCGTGGCGTGGGCTGGGCCGCCTCGTGGTGTACAGCGTCCACGCCATAGTGCGCTCAGTTGGTGATTGGCCGTCGTTGTTGTCGGTAGCGCTGTGTACTGACAATATTTTCAATGTTTTCGGTTCTAATTCCCTTTAAAATGACTGGCAAGCATAAAAGTGAGAATTCTGGTGGTGCTCAGAAGAAACAAATGGCAGAGGCATTTGCTACTATTAATATGGGGATGCAAATGTTTGACGAAATGGATCATAATGTTGAGCGTTTTGCAAAAGTTGACAGAATGATCCAAGATGCACTTGCTTGCTACAGGGAGATTTACAATGAAAAGAAAAGGCAAACTGTGCAGTCTAAATTGGACATATGTTTTAAGGAGTCCCCCACTGCTGCCTCTTCACTCCCTAAAGATGATCCAATACCTTCAACAAGCATGTTAGCCTGTCTGAAGAAAGCGACATTGATGACCCACCCAGCCCTGTCTCCTACTCTGCTTCATCCAATTAATGTAGTCTCCATGTTTAATTAAAAAATTATTGAGGCCCCATGTGCATTCAGCTGACTACATTAAAGGTAAGTGCACAGTAACAATTGATTCATTTTTCATTATTGATTACTTTTACTGTACTGTACAGTGAGTTCTGCTATAACGCGTGTTTTAATAACGCGAATTTGCTCTAACGCGATTTATGAATTAGGAACGATATTTGTATAACGCGAACGCTTGTTTGCTATAACACGATTTTTGCTTACTATTTCTCCAATTTTGTGGTATTAATTGTGAATATGGTAAAGAAGAATATCTCCATGAAGCGTTCTGGTGATAGAATTCCCGGTGATGATCGTAAAAGAAAGGATATAACACTTGAAGAGAAGCTCGATGTTATCAACCTCAAAATCACCCTTCTCCCCCATCAAGTTACATTCATATTTTTTCAAGGTAAAGTGTTACATTTACTGTATGATTTCATTATTAGATATGAATGTAACATTTATTTAGACTGTGCTATCCTTTGTGTTAGGCTAACTACTACATTTTTTCGATTTCGAGTAATCTGCACCTAACCCTATTTTCTCCATAAGCCCTGTTATTTCTATTACGCGATTTCCTATAATACGATATTTTACAAGAACACAATTATCGCGTTATAGCAGAACTACCTGTATTTCATTTTAGATTTTCTAGGTACACTGTATTATTTTTTCATTTTTGACGTACGACCTGGATTTGGATCCCTAACCCGTCGTAAGTCAGGGACTGCCTGTATATGCCATCTTCAACTCTTTCTCTTTACATCACTATTTTTCTTACAGCAAGTCTTGAAAAATGAACTTTACACATCTAGTTTTATGTAATACTTCTGGATCTTGGCAACTCAATACTTTACATTTACACATTCAATGACAAAAAAAAAATTAATCACAAGAATCGCTTAAAAAATATTATGATAGAAATAAATCTTACAAATACCAGGTTGGCAATCCCTTATCCGAAATCCTTGGGGCAAGATGCATTTCGGATTTTGGAATTTTTCTGATTTCAGAATGGTTAGGTTAGTTTTTATTTATTTTTATTTTATTATTTATTTTTTTTTACAGGGATCAGCCCACCTGGGCACAGGTCACTGACCCACATTGGGGCATTGGGGGCGAAAATATAATAACTGTAATTATAATAATAGTAATAATAATAAATCTTAAGTCTAGGTTATGTTTCTCACTTTTGATATTTTTTTCATTCATGTATTTCCTTATTATTATTATTATTATTATTTTATTGTTACAGTATTATTGTAATTATTATTATTACTATTTATTTTATTATTATTAATTTTACTATTATTTTATTATTATTATTATCAGTTATTTTATTTTTTGTGTAATTTTTATTATAAACATTATTTACTATGACTAATTATTATTATAAATATTATTAAATTTCCCCCCCCCCAGGCCCTGATGTGGGTCAGTGACCTGTGCAGAGTGAGCTAATCCCTGTTAAAAAAAAAAAAAAAAAAACTTTCGGTTTTCAGAATTTCGGATAAGGGATTGTCAACCTGAGTACAGAGAACCAAAACAGAATTTAACATACCAGTAATTATTAAATTTAAACCCAAGATATGTGACAACTGTCCAGTTTAAAGAAAATTTCCTTGTTCAATACAGTACAATACAGGGGTGTCCCAGAGTTACAAACGTCTGACTTACGAACATCTGTCGATATGAATGAGGTCCCATAAGGTCAATTATTTTAAGAATACGACAAACAGTAGTAAAGTACGAGAATTAGTTTGTGTGACGTAGTGGCGAGGTGGAGCGAGCGGCAGGTGGGGAGTAATGTTGTCACCCAGCCATGTGCCTTGAGGGAGCATCAGGACATTTTACTCTCACCTCAGTAATATGTGTGATTAAGTGCAAACTGATGTTTTTTGCTTCTTATTACTATTTTTCTGCCCTCATCCTGGCTCCCAAATGCAAACCTAATGCATGTGATAGTAGTGCATCCAAGAAAAGAAAAACAATTACAATGGGAGTGAAAGTTGATGTAATTAAACGTTCTGAAAAAGGAAAAACACCCTCAGTCATTGGTAAAGCATTGGGCTTCAGTCAGTCAACGATCAAAAAAATTTTGAAAGAAACAGAAAATTCTTGAATATGTAAAAAGATCTACACCAATGCAGGTTGTTAAGTCTCGTATTCCATGAAACGATTGCCAATTGGCAATGCAGTATTTTTATTTATTTTTTATTACTATTTATTCCTCACATTTAAATGGTACAGTAGACACACGACAATTCAGCAGGGAGTCATCACCAAGCTGACTCAAGAGACGTGTGGCAGTTTCCTGTATGTCGTGACGTCACATGGGGGGGGGGGAGAAGAGTGCGGCTGACCAAAGTTACAGGCCAGTGCCTCAATACATATATTCAAATCCCATACATACACACCCATGCTCATCAATTTTCTTATTTTACAGTTTTATAATATATTTTCTTTACTTCTCACCCACAGTAGAGTACTGTACTGTATTGTAATGGTGTGCACTTGGAGCACAGAATCCCCAGTTTTTCAGGTTTCCTTCCCAAATTTTTCTCAGGGAGTCAAAAATCGCTAAATTGAAAATTGACAATCATTAAATGAGTGTTATAAATTTTAAATTTGTAAAAAAAAAAAAATGATCGTTAACCGAGGGATACCTGTACAGTACAATGGTGAACAAAAGTTCCTTCCCTCAGCCAGCCACAATGTGACTGAATCCCCTGAGGTTCGAATAACGAAGCAACTGAGGGAGGTGCTGTAATCGTCCAACAAATGGCGTACTGTGTAGTGCGTATGACGGAGGATGGGGACCAAAGGAGAAAAGAGAGGGAGGGCTGAGGGAAGGGACTTTTGTCCACCATAGTACTGTACAGGTATCCCTCGGTTAACGATCTTTTTTTATTTTTTAACAAATTAAAAATTCATAACACTTGATCGCCTCGATCAAGTGCATACGGTGCTCTCCTCCTGTTACAGGGGTCGGCAGTTCAATACCCGCGCGCTCCCAGTTCAACCAGCTGTAAATGGGTACCCAAGTTTACAGCTTGGGCAGTAAATGCAGTCAAGTGCAGTACAGGCCATGCTGCCTCCTTGTGTACCAAAGGCCTAGTATACAATGTACGACCCTAACAGGCAGTCATGCCTATGGGATCCACAGTACATCAAACTTTTAAGGGGTAAAAATACATATGGGACTAATAAAGTATCTGGTAGGAGTTACTATCTCAACATGTCAATGTACAGTACCCAATGGCATGTCCTTGTATTAGCCCCTGTCTCATGGCAATAACAATTATATATAAATTTGGGTTAATACATTTAGTTTATATAATCGAATCACCCTACTGTAATTTTACATAAGCTGTGAGGTGCCATGTGCTGTTCACGTGAGGGGAAATTCCTCTATGAGTAAGCCGACCTTTAGAATGCCCAGCCTCTCCTTCAGAGCTCCCCTCACAGGCACCAGTCTTGACTTGAAGATCACCAGAATCGGACGGGTGACCTAACTCAGTCAAGCTGAGCCCTTGTCCTTAACTAACACTCACAGCTAACATAGTTAATTATGGTGCATCTACTAATAGACTGTGACCAATATAGTTTTACCAATAAATGGAGAAAAGACCATATTGGGTTTGTAACTTAACCCCTCAACTTATTTATATATAAGCCAAGTTAAGGGAACTCTACCCAAAGCTTATATATCCTATCTTCTGTAGTTCATTAATACCCAGACAAAAATGGCAATACAGTATCCTTATTCAATCTCAACAATGCCATACCATGTTGAAAGCATAGGTTTCTGGTCCGATCAGCAAAGTTAAGCAACACGGAGTTTGGATAGTACTTGGATGGGTGACTGCCCGGGAACACCAAATGCTGTTAGCATATATAGGATGCTTCTGGAAATAAGCATGTTGGCTTTGTTGATTATTCTTGGTCAGATTGTCTAAATATCAATGAAAAAACCAGACTGATCAATGATGCCTCAAGATACAAATGGCTAATTCATAAATAGCCTCTGGGAAAGCAATATGCCTGTGGGTTTAGTTTTGTGCCAAACTTGCCAGTACTGTACATTTGTACTTATTCTTATACAATGAGGAAGGTAATAAGTAAACAGATTTTACCTTTATTGTGATGATTCTTTCTAAGTTGAAGCTGTTGATGTCATTGATGCTAGATACTGTTATCTTAGTGCTTGTATCATCCATAATTTTCTTGATAGTAGTTCCTCCCTTCCCAATGATGCGGCCAATAAGGTTGTTGTGAGCAAGAATCTTCAGGGGGACCTCTCTAAAAGGCAATATAATAAAACATACAAAATCTTGCATTATGAAAATTTTTACATTTCATAAGCTGCCTAAAGCCATTTAAAAGCATGAATGTCTATAATAATAAAAAAATCATAAATCCCTATGCCTTATATACATGACACCTCACTTTTTTCTAAATTTAACTGCACATCACAGCCTATAAATACAGTATACTGTAATTATAAAAGGGTTTGTCTATATCACCTATAAATGCCACAAAACCTGTAAATTTTAAGAATATATCCACAATATTGCTATAGTACATTAAAACAGTGATTCAAAACAGAATATGCAACAGTAACCAACCAACATAGGGCTACAGCTATAAATTTCAAATTCACTAATTTCTGCTGACACCTTACATGCATAAAGTTAATTGTTCAGCCTGATTTAAGCCTTGAAAGTTTTATTTGTCAGTCCAATGTAATTCATTCTTAAAATTTTCAAAATTCTTGAAATTATAGTGTGTGTGTGTGTGTGTGTACAGTATTGTATAATATTTCAAGATAAGTTCTCATTACAAATCAGCAGTGAGCACAAATGACTGTGCTGGACATTATATAAATTATACTTGTTAGAATTTTTTTTTCAAAATTACCTTTAAAATACTGCATAATAAAAACTATATCTTTATGCTAAAAATAATGTCTTGTGATAAACAAATGGTTTTTTGTTATCCAACATTTTTCATTAATTCCCTATTAATGAAACTAGGGGGACTGCGGTTGATTCTCATTCATTCCTTAATTTATACAATGCGAATGATTCCTAATTTAATTTCTTTTTATATATGGTATAAACAGTAAAAAAAAAATTTACATAAATCAGAAATAACAATTTGGTAATCATATGTTTCCCATAAAAGGATACAGTGCTTGGCTTGGAATTAGTATTGCTGCATAATATTCAATGTTCACTATTAACTGCCCCCCCTTTTAATATAATTTGTGGCATAATTCAAAAGACAGGTTACTGGAAGTTGCAGGACCAACACTTCAGACTTAATGTAAGTGTAACAAGGACATTTTTTCCGATGGGATCCCTTACACAAAATTCAAGGCTCTTATCAATTTCTAAAATGTGTAGAGATAAGAGCTCATTTCTTAAAGTACTCATCACAGAAAAAAAAGATACTCAAAAAACGATACTCTATGTGTAAACTTGGTTACTAGATAATACATTAACATGTATATTGTAATTGTTTTAAATATTCTAAAATAATGTTTTGTGGCACTTTGCATTACAGATAAGGCGATTTTTTTTTCAATCCTGGCAAAAAATAACCTTAGATTTTATCATACTGTATACTGCACACTACATGGCTGGTTCCCTGAGCATTTAATCTAACAAAATTGTAAGTCATCTTAAAATTCAAAGTGTCATACTAATTACTATGCTAAAAATACAGTATATGTAAATCATGAAGATATGGAATGTTTTAATGTGATACAATTTATATCTTTTGATGTCTTAATCTCTTGGTATACTCCCATGCTTGAAGAGGTGGCCTTTGGCATATTCTTTCCTACATACTGTATTTTCCTACAGGAGCTCTTTTAAAACATTCACTGAAGAACTCTACATGCTAGCTCACCAACCAATCGCCACTTGCTTGCACAGTGAATTGTGTGTGTTTGAAAAAGGTGAGAGTTGCTGTAGCAAGCATACATAACATGGAAATTAGAAGGAAGCAGGAAGACCAAAGCACAATGTGAATAAAAAGTGATACAGAATGGAAAATTGTTATAGAGTATAATGTGGATGTCATGACAATGAAGCAGACTACCAAGTGGTGCTGCTGTATGAACATGGCTAAGGAAAATAATCACCAATGGATGTAAGGGCATCCTCCCACTGTTTCTCTCATGGTTATTCTTCCATGAGTGACCAAGGCCAGCCACCCTACTATTCTAACTGATAACATAAGTTATTAACCAAGGTTTATATTATTTACAATTAGCACAAAGAAAATCCCTCACCCCTTGCTTGTGTTTTCAGCCTCCTCTTGCAGGTCTCCCAAAACCCTGCAATCGATAGTAGTTGTAAAAATTTTAATGAAATGTCGTACATAAAAACTTATCCCACTAAACTTTTTAAAACATCGTCCTGGTTAACTTTTCTGTTACTTCCAGTACATCATTGAAATTATATTAATTATGAAACTGTAATCAATCATTCCCTGCAAATGACTTCATGAGTAAACTGCAGGGCACTGTTTTCATTACAATGAAATAAAAGTACTCATTTTGTTCAGCTTACCCTTTGTTTGTATTATCGGCTTCCTCTTGCATGACTTCTAGTATTCGTTTACAAGCATTGGTGCAATTCTCAGGATTGCCATAGATAGTGATGGCTTTCTCCAGAGAACCAGCATTATCCTTTCTGTGAACATCTACTCTGGCACGGGTCTGTTGAGAATAAATATTCATCGTACATATTACAGCAAAACACAAAGCAGTTTTTAAAAAAAGAAATAAACTTAAATTTTATACAGTTCATTCAAACAACCCTTTTCTTGCTAAGTAGTAAGGAGGCCAAACAGATGTTGATCCAATTCTTGGCATGCAGCAGTTGGGAAGTTACCCCACTCCCTTGGCTGAATGCTACTCAAGTAAAGGGTTCTTCCACCAACAAGGACATCTGATTGCTTATGCTGTATACATAAAAAAAGAAATAGTGATTAAGATCATACCTGCTGTGTGATTGTCCTGATTGTGGACCCTTGACGACCAATGATAGCTCCAACCATCTCGCTCAATACTAAGATACGAAGGGGGAAGTCTGTGTGTCGCTGAGACGGGGAGGTTGCTCCGGGGCCTCCCATGCGTCCACCACTTATTGGACCACCACCCATGGCACCCCTAGGTCCACGCCTACGATCCATTAAACGGTCCACACGAAGAATCCCACCTTCTAAATTGTAACCATTGAGTCGCTGGGCTGCCTCCCTTGCTGCATCCATGGTCTCATATGTTACATGCACCACCTGCAACCAAACATACAATCAACTGAAGGAATACAATTTAGCTCCTTAAAAATTTAACTAAGTACTGTAATTACTGTACAAACTACTGTAATTTATATTTCACAATACCATAACCAATATGTCATGTACAGTATCTCTCTTTTCCTAGACCAGAAAATGTATCTAATTACTGAATAAACACAGGAGAGTAACAATGATGAAAAATAATTCACAAAGCATTATTTGGTCACTACAGTGGAAAATATTCGAGGAGCTCAAGTAGCCTATGGATGAGTCCCGCTGCACTTTTGATAATAAAACCTGTATCATGTTATATGAACTTTTCCTTAATCTACCATTGGCTGAAAAATGGTTTGTGCCTATTCTGGACCAGGCTGGAAAATTGTAAGAGAGATCTAAAATAACTTCTCATTTTAGCATCCACATACAATAGACAAATGGAAAATTGACCGACAAACAAAATCAATCATGCACAGGTAACACTGAATAAAGTTCACCTTGCATATCTTAACAATTCAGTGAATTGTATTACCTTAGAATTGCATCAAAGTTAATTTATAGCCCTTTTATCTTTTGAGAGAGGAGGGGGATGAGTACTGATGATTAAAATGTGAAGATAAGAGTGCCTGGGAATGGAGACTGGTTTATGTGAATGAAATTAAAAGCCGAGTCTCCGGAAAGAGAGAAATTCGGGGAAGTTTAATAAATCCAAGTTAAAAATGTTGAGTGTGGAGGGGCAGGATTATCAACCTTCAGATATGATGGCACATTTTTCAATTGGTATCACATAACATTGATAATTTTGCCCAACATTTTGATATAAAAAAAAAAAGAGGAAAACACAAGGAAAATAATGTACTGTATATATGATCAAAACATCATCCCTGAAAGATGGTGTATACTTATTTTATGAATTAAAACAAATTGACCAAATGTCAGAGAAGGACAAATTATCTTGATCTGGGCTGCTATGTTGTCACACACAATATCAAATACAGTCAGTCCTCAACTTACGACGGGGTTAGGGACCGACAACCAGGTCATAAGTCAAAAATAGTACATAGGAAATCTAAAATGGGTGACTCTTTTTCTTCTCAGCACCACAAGAACTTTCACTTTTACGCTTGCCAGCCATTTTAAAGGGAAATACAAGTGAAAATTCTGTCAGTACACAGCGCGATCACTAGCGTCGGGACTCGAAAATACATAGAGTACTGTAATTTGAAAAATATTTTATACGACTGCAGCGGTCGTATGTCCGGGTGGTCGTAAGTCGAGTAGGACGTAAGTCGAGGAATAGCTGTATATATAAATTATTCAATATTTATTTTGTTTTTAAGTATGGCTCAACTAATACTAATACATTAATCAAGAATAGCCCAACCTTGAATGTAAATGGAAGTGTTTACTGCATTCCATGTAGCATTTGTAATGGAAATTATGTAGGACAGACTGGGAAAACATTGCAACTCAGCACAAGTACAATATTAGAAAAGCATCTGAAAGCAGTGCCCTGTTCGTTCATCTTAAGAACAATAATCATCCCATACATTGGGAAAACAGCTTAGAAGTGTGTAAATCATCATGTGTCACAGAAAGACATCTGGTTGAAGCAAGTTTGATTAGAAAATTGAATTCTATAAACCTTGGTGATGGTCAATATATATATATACATACACAGCTACGCCTCGACTTACGACCACCTGGACATACGACCGCCCCAGTCATACTCAAATTTTTTTCAAATTACGTATTTTCGAGTCCCGACGTAAGTGATTGCGCTGTGTACCGACAAAATTTTCTTTTGTAATTCCCTTTAAAATGGCTGGCATGCTTAAAAGTGAGAGTTTTGTGGTGCTGAGAAGAAAGAGAGACACCCATTTTAGATTTTCTATGTATTATTTTCGCATTTTCGACTTACGACCAATTCGACTTACGACCTGGATTTGGGTGCCTAACCCCGTCGTATACAGGTTGACAATCCCTTATCCGAAATCCTTGGGGCCAGAGGCATTTCGGAATTTTTCGGTTTTCAGAATGGTTATTTTTATTTTTTTTTAGCCCACCCACTCACAAGTCACTGACCCACATTGGGGCCTGGGGGGCAAAAATATAATAATAATTATTATAATAATAATAATAATAATAATAATAATAATAATAATAATAATAATAACAATAACAATAATAATTCATAGGTCTAGGTCGTGTTGCTCACTTTTTATCTTTTTTCATTCTTGTATTTTATTATTATTAGTATTTTATTAATACAGTATTATTGTTATTATTATTAATTTTATTATTATATTTTAATATTTTTATTATTGTTGTTATGATTATTATTTTATTTTGGTATATTTTTTATAATTTTTTTTTATTTACTATGAATAATTATTATTATAATTAGTATTACTATTACATTTTCGCCCCCCAGGCCCCGATGTGGGTCAGTGATCTATGCCTGGGTGGGCTAATCCCTGTAAAAAAAAAAAAAAAAAAAAAGCTCCACAAATACTATCGGTTTTGGATGAGTTGTCAAAATATATATATATATATATATATATATATATATATATATATATATATATATATATATATATATATATATATATATATATATATATATATATATATATATATATATATATATATATATATATATATATATATATATATATATATATACACGCTAAATAAATCACTGAGGTGCGCTATGGACTGAGTATACTGATAACCCATGAAAGAAGAAAACACTAAGTTCCTTTGTGGTTATCATATATATATATATATATATATATATATATATATATATATATATATATATATATATATATATATATATATATATATATATATATATATATATATATATATATATATATACATACAGTAGTATGCTATAACGTAATCTAATTGGTTCTAGAACCTTGTTCATAGCATTCGCTTTTGTTATAGATTAATCCGCTCCAGGCCCCAAATACAACCACTTAACACTGAAAAATATAATATATAAAATTGTAAAAGTAAAGTGCATAAATATGCATCTAAACCCCTGAAATAAAGAATATCATTAATATTTGTAATAATAAAACAATAAATTAGAAAAAAAAAAAATTAAATTATGTTCATGTAGGAGTCTCGCTCGTTATAGCATTCTCAATTTAGGTAAACCGTTCATAGAATATTCAGAGGTGATCCGTTAGTTATAGCATACCCCACTGTGTATATATATATATATATATATATATATATATATATATATATATATATATATATATATATATATATATATATATATATATATATATATATATATATATAAATAAAATTATTACTATCTAACCGCAAGTTTCCTTACGAATACTATCAGCTCTGAATACTGTACATGGAAATTATAGGCTTGGTATGAGGATTATCTAAACAGGTTGAAGGGTAACAGTTGTGAACTATACAAATCCTGTATCTGAGATTGATGAAATATCTTGTTTGCTAATTATTACTGTTATGCTCGCTATAATCTCACCATCACATGATTCTCATTTGCAATACCGTTAGCCGATCCGTGTTTATGTTAAAAGTACAATTAATACCATTAACAAACCCCATCTATATCAAAGCAAGTTGAATTTCAATATTTATTAAGGTTAGTCTAGGGTTGCCATACGTCCGTATTTTCCCGGACATGTCCTCCATTTAGGTCTCGAAATCTTCATCCGGAAGGAATTTTTAAAATTCTTCAAAAGTACGGAATTTCAGCTTCCATCATTTTCTCCATGGAAAAAACATGAAACTGTAATGACGGGAGGGCGTAGGATAGTTGGTGCGTGTTGTTGAACAAAGTGGCGGTATTTGTCAACTTAGCTGTCAAATATTTGATTGATAAGGGGGTAGAAGTTGATGTAAGTGTTTTGACCAAGTTAGTAACCTGAAGCAGTTTGTGGAAGATTAAAGGAGTGATGAAGAATTTAGTAATCTGCCAACACATAAAAAGTGGACCAGATACTTTGAAAAATCAAAGAACATTGAATGCCACTCAGAATTGCTAAGAATTGCACAATTCTTCTTTGCTATATCATCTCACAATGCAAATGTAGATAGAGTTTTTTCACTGATGCAAAGTCAATGGACAAAGGAAAGGAACAAATTGAGTGTTGAAACAATGAAAGGCATTCTGACTGTACAGTACAACTTCCGAGAAACACCTTGCAGTGACTTCTATACCTTTCTAAAGAGCAATCAGCCAATACTGAAAAAGATCCGATCTGCAGAAAAGTATGCATGGGGGAAGAAGACTGCAGCTAAGGGAATGAAGATGTTCAGCCTTAAGCAATGGTAATTTTTTTTTTTTAACATTTCTATACCATGTATGGTGTATATTAGCCTGTGTGTGCCTGGGGGTGGGGGGGAGTGTCGTCTTCGGGAGCGTCCTCTTTTTTTTAATGTTCAGATATGGCAACTGGGCAGTATGGTGAACTTCCCAAGGAAATTAAACGTGCTTCTTTGCGGGCTTATACAATATTGATGAAACGGAAGGAGCATGGTAAAGTTGCTTCAGCATGATTAATACACAATAACTTACCACATCATATCCACCACGAACGATACGACGTACGTAAACACGATTTCGTGACCGCTGGTGATGGGAAGTCGACCATAATTGGATCAGGCTTTTTTTTTTCCCGGATTAATCTCCATAATGATGGATTTCTCTGTCGAAGTACTTGCTCATTGCTTTCCTGGACGTTCCTGCCTCCTGGCCTTCCGCTCTATCTCATCCCAAAGCTACCACCGGGCCAACAGTCTTAGTAAACTGTTAAACAAAGAATATAATTTGAAACTTGACACTTTCTTATTTAAGATACTTTCCTTGACCAGATAGCTTTCAGTTTTAACACAATATAAACGCCAATTCTAATATTAATTATATATTAACTTTATCATTAACGAATTAACTTTGCCGCCCACGAAATGTTTATTTACCTCCTTAGAGTATTTAAATTGAAAGCATTTCACGTGAAAAACTACTGTAGCTTTAATGAGTGAAACAAAAAAAAATGGTTGACAGGTCTCAGGAAATTTATTTTATTTTTTTAATGCAGAATATTGGCAGCGCACACTACCCTGAGTTGATGAATGCTTCACTCGTGATGCTGAGTGGATGGGTGGCTTAATTGAACATTCAACTGTCACCGCATTACTTCAGACGTGTTTACTCTTGTGCGAGTCTTCTGGCTAAACTTTTTGTAAATAATTAACGAATAAGTATGTAAAGATGGCAACTCAAAAAAATCCCGAAGTGACTTTCTTCCCCATTTCAATTTCTTGTGTTCAAAAATGATCATTAAGTAGGCACATAAAGGGCGGACCAATAGTGAAAATCGTGAATTGTGAAATTAATGCTATACGAGAGGTACTCTAAGAAAATAAGGTTGAAGTTATTTCCAGAACAAATTTACTGAAACTAAGAAATTATCGTTCTCAATTAATAGTTCAGTTCTTTATTACAAACGTTCTTGTGCTGTATGTCGGGGTCTAATTGTTAATTGATAGCACAGACATTCCCGGCTACTGTCAACTTTTGCAAAAATCAGCAGGAAAGGACATGGATCATTATGTATACAGACGTTACATAGATGACCAGTTGGTTTCGGTCCCGCAGACACTACTCCCGTGGTATAAGTGTATGATCATTAATGATGGTGAATAATGGAAAGCGCAAACATCATTCCTGAATATATATTACCCGGTAAGAATATTAATAACTATTGGATATTGCATGATATTTACCATCTTGTACAATGAATACAACTCGCGGAGGTAAAGAAAATTACTGGCAAATATCCTGGTCACGGTTATACTAGATTTAAAATAGGTCTCCCGAACTCACCTGCACACTACATTTCAACATAATAAGAAATAAAATTGTAATGACAAATTCTAGGTCAACAGCAATGTCTATCTTGATAGTAACAAAAATAATATGCATTTTATTTCCCCAATTACTGTAAAATTAAAAAGTTAGGTCCACCAATATTTATCACCACCGCATTGGCATCAACTACGAAGTACCTGTAGTGCATTTCGCCAGCGCAACAAGTTATCTTTATGCCAAACCACTTCAGTTTAAGACCATATGGAACTAACATTAACCGAGTTCCATTTCACATTCTACCCATTTAATTTATATGAACACAATGATATACAGCCGCATTCTGCCTAACACTTCTGATGATGTGTTGCTGATGCAGGTGCAACTAAGAACTTTTACACTAAATATATGCATGAACGATATACAAGAAAACAGGTGTTCCAACGATTGCTCTACACTACTTCTGTGAAGAAAACATATAAGTCCTTACGAAACTTCATCGCTATCTTTATTTATTTTTTACTTAGCTCTTGTATTACATTTGATTCGCATGTGAAGAGATTTGCAACATTTACAAAATGAATAAGCTCTTCTGTTTTAATACACAGTGACAAGGTAACTTACTGCTGATACAAAGTGAAACATTGAAATATTTTTCTCGTCACTTCTACTGCAGGTGCTGAGAACAATATTCTAAGGAAAACCATTGCCAGAGTTCAAATTACTTCCCTTCAAAGAACCGTAGAAAATCTTTGTTCCCGGTAATAGTATCTCCAAACAGTATTTCAGCCAAAAAAATGTGTTCATTGTCCAAGGATTTACTTCTTCTGTACAGAAAGTGATGGTTACACTGGCAAGGCCACAGATTGCCTTCTGAATCGCAATATGGTCGAAGGTATAGTTTAAAATTTGTTGATGTGGTTTTTGTAATGTTTTATAGTCTTTCCCACTATATCACATGATGTTGTTTAATAATATTAAAGAACTCATTATCACTAAAATTGGGTCTACATACACAATAAACAGATTTGAATATGGCCATAGGAATCATCTTCAACTGAGGGCGTATAAGCAACTAACAGATTTTTGCTGTTTAGGAGAAACAACCACTTAAGCAAGCTCAGAACTGAAAACACTATTGCAGTAATTGCATGTGATAATAGCAGCAAGGATGTCTGACACGATACTAAGATCAAAACATTATACACGCAGCCATGTACACCCATTAAAAACTCATTCCACACCCGCGTCATATTGTATCCCGTCGTAAAGGTGCCGAATATTTTTTTATATACATATATATATATATATATATATATATATATATATATATATATATATATATATATATATATATATATATATATATATATATATATATATATATATATATATATATATATATATATATATGCATATGCATATACATATGCATATGCATATACATATGCATATACATATACATATACATATACATATACATATACATATACATATACACATACATATACACATAGATACATATACATACATATACATACATATATTATATATATATATATATATATATAAATCACTGAGTGCGCGTGATCTAGGTTATGCTGATAACCACAAAAGGAAAAAATAGAAGTTCCCAAGCATTTATCACTTATATTCTTTATATTATTTGTAATTCATTCCCCAAATATGTAACTGTATGATTCTCAGCCTTCTGGCTGCCAAGCTCTTTCAATAAACCGTTAATTATTATTATTATTATTATTATTATTAGTCTGTACTCACCCCTGAAGATGTGAATTACCACGGCTTGAGAACCATTGTTTTCTTCTTTCCTTGTGGTTATCAGCATATAGTACCTGGATCACAGCACCTGATTTACTTGCATATATATATATATATATATATATATATATATATATATATATATATATATATATATATATATATATATATATATATATATATATATATATATATATTCAACACCACTTCGAAGGATACAATATGACACGTGTTTGAATAATTTTTTTAGTGGTCTAGTTCACTCTCCAGATGAGCGCACTACACCTGATTCCAGTGCACGAGATGTGGCAATGCAACCTTAGTCAGGGCTGAATGCATGGGGTGAAACAGTGAAATTACCGGTTTGTGATAACATACTGTACATCGAACGACGTAACTTACAATGTAACGTGTTTTGCAGCATTGTTTTGTAGCCAACAAACGGTATTCCACAGTTTCACCCAAACCCTCACGCACTCGGGCGGCGTTATGTGGAGGCAACTGTATAGTATGTGTTAGTGAACAGGTGTGTGTACCATGTTTAGTGTTTTCTGTTATTATTTTAACCCACGAAAACATAGCAATAAACGGGGATGTTGACTCACTCAAGGCATTTATACAGAGGTACTGTAGGCTCAGTCAGATTCAATACCAGCAAATTCCACGAGTTTCCCCTCTTGAACCCTGCGCGATTAATTTTGTTGTTGCTGGAACAGTTTCCAACCATAATTACACACGACACTCCTTGTATAGTGGTGAAAATCACATTCAGTGTTAAGTAATAAGCTCAAGTACAGTTACCTCCCGCCGCAATAACACTATAGTAAGATAATTTATGATACTAAATTTGGTACATTGGTCTCCTTTGTTCATTGTTAAGAAAATTATGGTCGCGCTGTCGGCTGCAAGAAGAAAGAAAGGTTCTCTCTGCTGCCCTTCTAAGACCCTCCCAACTGGGGCAGCATTAAGCATCGAACAATTTTTCCTACTATTTGCGAGACACCTAACCAAACAAACGAAGTGAGCATGAACCAATAAATGGTGCAACGTTTCTCTTAGCGATATACAGTACCATCCACTGATTAACAACGAAAGTTCAAGGGATACTCCTGGGTAAATTAGACAACAATAACGAACTTTAATCAAGCGAACCAATTATCAAACTAAAACTTCTTATTCTTTAGGGGAAAATATTTATGCAATCCCACATTCAAAGTCACGTAATTAAAATAAAAAATAATCTTGACCCTTAAACCAGCGTTAAAAAAAAAATCATGGTAAGAAGTACTCCTATCTGTGGAACATGTTAAGTTGGTGAACATAATCTAAATATACAATAACACGGGCATGGGTGAAGATGATACCTGGGACAAAAGGGAGTCACAACACATCGTACAGTATATATCCAGGTGGCAATAACATCCACACCTGGAGGAGCTCAACCCTGCCTTCCTCCCACACATCCACTCCACCAGTCATTCCCCAAAATTCTTCATCCTATTCCACCTCCACATCCCATCCCACCTCAGTCTTTCCTTACTGTAGCCCCCCCTCACACCGTCACATCCTCTCCCCCCCTCACACCTGTCCCACAATCCTCTTCCCCCCCCCTCACACCGTCCCTCCTCTCCCCCCACACCTGTCCACTCCTCCCCCCCTCATACCTGTCCCACCTCCTCCTCCTCCACACCTGTCCCCCTCCTCCTCCTCACACCTGTCCCACATCTATTGTAGTTGCTATCAACTTACCTGCGTGTGACCGTCCTGGGCGTACTTTTCACACTTCTCCACGTCCCCAACACTGCGTAGGACCCGCTCAAGCTCTTCTGGCGTGTACTGGCACCCCGCTCACTACCGCGCGTCTCCAACCTGCAGAGGGAGAAAATGTGTGGAAGTCACTTGCTGGGGGTATGTCCAGCTCACCTGCTGGGGAGCAGTATGTCAGTCACCTGCTGGGGCAGTATGTCAGTCACTGGGGAGCAGTATGTCAGTCACCTGCTGGGGGGCAGTATGTCAGTCACCTGCTGGGGGCAGTATGTCAGTCTGCTGGGAGAAGTATGTCAGTCATCTGCTGGGGAGATATGTCAGTCATCTGCTGGGGAGAAGTATGTCAGTCATCTGCTGGGGGAAGTATGTCAGTCACCTGCTGGGGGAAGTATGTCAATCACCTCTTTGGGGAGCAGTATGTCAGTCACCTGCTGGGGAAGTATCAGTCATCTGCTGGGGAGAAGTATGTAGTCACCTGCTGGGGGAGAAGTATGTCAGTCACCTGCTGGGGGAGAAATGTCAGTCACCTGCTGGAGAAAGCATGTCAGTCACCTGCTGGGGGAGCAGTATGTCAGTCACCTGCTGGGGGAGAAGTATGTCAGTCATCTGCTGGGGAAGTATGTCAGTCACCTACTGGGGAGAAGTTTGTCAGTCCTGCTGGGGGAGAAGTTTGTCAGTCACCTGCTGGGGTGAAGTTTGTCAGTCACCTGCTGGGGGTGAAGTTTGTCAGTCACCTGCTGGGGGTGAGATTTATCAGTCACCTGCTGGGGAGAAGTTTGTCAGTCCTGCTGGGGAGAAGTTTGTCAGTCACCTGCTGGGGGGTGGGTTTGTCAGTCACCTGCTGGGGTGAAGTTTGTCAGTCACCTGCTGGGGAGGTTGTCAGTCACCTGCTGGGTGAAGTTTGTCAGTCACCTGCTGGGGTAGAAGTTTGTCAGTCACCTCTGCTGGGGTGAAGTTTGTCAGTCACTTGCTGGGAGAAGTTTGTCAGTCACCTGCTGGGGGAGAAGTTTGTCAGTCACCTGATGGAGGAGAAGTATGTCAGTCACCTGCTGGGGGTGAAGTTTGTCAGTCACCTGCTGGGGGGAGTTTGTCAGTCACCTGCTGGGGTGAAGTTTGTCAGTCACCTGCTGGGGGAGAAGTATGTCAGTCACCTGCTGGGGGTGAAGTTTGTCAGTCACCTGCTGGGGTGAAGTTTGTCAGTCACCTGCTGGGGGTGAAGTTTGTCAGTCATCTGCTGGGGAGAGTTTGTCAGTCATCTGCTGGGGGAGAAGTTTGTCAGTCATCTGCTGGGGTAAGTTTGTCAGTCATCTGCTGGGGGTGAAGTTTGTCAGTCACCTGCTGGGGTGAAGTTTGTCAGTCACCTGCTGGGGTGAAGTTGTCAGTCACCTGCTGGGGTGAAGTTTGTCAGTCACCTGCTGGGGGTGAAGTTTGTCAGTCACCTGCTGGGGGTGAGGTTTGTCAGTCACCTGCTGGGGGAGAAGTTTGTCAGTCACCTGCTGGGGGTGAAGTTTGTGTCACCTGCTGGGGTGAAGTTGTCAGTCACCTGCTGGGGGTGGTTTGTCAGTCTGCTGAGAAATTTGTCAGTCACCTGCTGGGGGTGAAGTTTGTCAGTCACCTGCTGGGGGTGAGGTTTGTCAGTCTGCTGAGGAAAATTTGTCAGTCACCTGCTGGGGGTGAAGTTTGTCAGTCACCTGCTGGGGAAGTTTGTCAGTCACCTGCTGGGGTGTTGTCAGTCACCTGCTGGGGAGTAGTATGTCAGTCACCTGCTGAGGAGAATTTGTCAGTCACCTGCTGGGAGTAAGTTTGTCAGTCACCTGCTGGGGAGGTTGTCAGTCACCTGCTGGGGAAGAAGTTTGTCAGTCACCTGCTGGAGGAGACGTTTGTCAGTCACCTGCTGGGGGAGAAGTTTTTCAGTCACCTACTGGGGGTAGAGTTTGTCAGTCAACCTGCTGGAGGAGAAGTTTGCCAGTCACCTGCTGGGGAGGAAGAGATGACTTATTCATGTCTCTCCTGATACACCTGTATGTATGTACACACACACTTGCCACTTTTAAGCACGTCTGCTTCTAGACGGGTCGGAAAGCTCGCGTTATCTGGCACAAACAGCAACTGCACACATCGCAGGTGTTCACACACACACACACACACACACACACACACACACACACACACACACACACACACTAAATGAATAAATAAATAAATAAATAAATGTTGCTGTATACGTGCACAATACTTATAAGGTTGTACGTTCTCATTAAAACTTGGGTGACCAGTTTTGCGTTTAACTGTACTTTAAGCAAATAGCAGAAACGGAGTGACTGAATACAACCAATAAAAATATATATATATATATATATATATATATATATATATATATATATATATATATATATATATATATATATATATATATATATATATATATATATATATATATATATATATATATATATATATATATATATATATATATATATATATATATTAATATAAATAAAAAAAAATATATATATATAAAAAAAAAAAAAAAATTATATATATATATATATATATATATATATATATATATATATATTTTTTTTTTTTTTTTTTTTAATGTGCGAGGCGAAAAAACATACCGGTACACCTGTATATAGAAAGGAATGATGCTGTTATGCCTTAATGGTGATCAACTCTGTACTCAACTTACATCATAAACACTACTACGATCAATAATTTTATGGCACAGTTTTCACAGTTTCGTAAATGTTTGTACATCTTAATCACCAGTGTGATGAAGAACAGATGCTTTATTCAGTCAAGATCACATTATCTTGAGGGGTGGTCATCTGGAAGAGTGAAATGAACAGAGTTAAACCATGTCCAGTAACCTTCTGGTGTATCTCTAACAAAGCCCTACATTAACCTCAAAGAACACACCCAAAACGGCGGGAACAGCTCGGCTACATCAAACGGTGCTCGTGTGCGCCACTGAGCAGAAGGAAAAATAAAATAAAACTGCTACTGGCCAGTGTGTTGAGGTGCCTGTAATCACACCAAGACACCGTGTCATTACATTCATCCTGGCAAAAACCTTCAGTCAGGCCAACAACGGTAACATTGGAAGCCTTCAGGGGTGGCAAACTACGACCAGCCTGCCTACTACTACCTATACCTACCCCACCTCCTCACCCAAGTTCAATACTCCCTCCTGAACGTCTATCTCGTTCTCTCTTTTGTCTTGCTCTCTCGTCTCGTATCCACTTTCTCGATATATCTCGCCTCTCTCTCCCGCCTCGCCCACCCGCACGCTCTCTCCCACCCTCTCTCTCTTCCGCCTCCTCTGGCTGGCTGGCTCTCTCTCTCTCTCTCTCTCTCTCTCTCTCTCTCTCTCTCTCTCTCTCTCACCTCCCCGCCCTCTCTCTCTCCCGCCCCCTCTCTCTCTCTCTCCCTCTCTCTCTCTCTCTCTCTCTCTCCCGCCTCCCTCTCTCCCTGCCCTCTCTCTCCTCTCTCTCCCTCCTGCCTCTCTCTCTCTCTCTCTCTCGCCTCGCCGCTCTCTCTCCCGCCTCGCCCGCCCGCTCTCTCTCTCTCTCCCCCTCCTCGCCCGCCCTCTCTCTCTCTCTCTCTCTCTCTCTCTCTCCTCTCCCCCTCCCCGCCCTCTCTCTCTCTCTCCCTCTCCCCGCCCTCTCTCTCTCTCTCCCGCCTCGCCCTCTCTCTCTCCCGCCTCGCCCGCCTCTCTCTCTCTCTCTCTCTCTCTCTCTGCCTCCCTCTCTCTCTCTCTCTCTCTCTCTCTCGCCTCACCTCTCTCTCCCACTCTCTCTTCTCTCTCTCTCTCCCGCCTCGCCCGCCCTCTCTCTCTCTCCCGCCTCCCCCCCTCTCTCTCTCTCCCGCCTCGCCTCTCTCTCTCTCTCTCTCTCTCTCTCTCTCTCTCTCTCCTCTCTCTCTCTCTCCTCTCTCTCTCTCTCCCTCTCTCTCTCTCTCTCTCTCTCTCTCTCTCTCTCTCCGCCCGCCACCCTCTCTCTCTCTCTCTCTCTCTCTCTCTCTCTCTCTCTCTCTCTCTCTCCTCGCCCGCCCCCCCCTCTCTCTCTCTCTCGCCTCTCTCTCTCTCTCTCTCTCTCCCCTCCCGCCCGCCCTCTCTCTCTCTCTCTCTCTCTCTCTCTCTCTCTCTCCCGCCTCCCCGCCCTTCTCTCTCTCTCGCCCGCTCCTCTCTCCCGCCTCACCTGCTCGCCAGCTTTCTCTCGCCTCACCCGCTCGCCAGCTTTCTCTCATCTTTAGTGTCTCTCGCTCTATTTCTCGTTTCGCTCCATCTCACGTTCTTGTCTTGCTCGCTCTATCTATCTCTATCTCATCTCCCTCGTTCCTGTCTCGCTCTCTCGTCTCGTTTAATTCCTACCCCCCCCCTCTCTCTCGGCCCACTACCACAGCGGCACCACCAGAGCCACTGATTCCTGAGAGATACCAAGAACCTGTGTCGTGGAAGATAACAGCGGCACCACCAGAGCCACTGATTCCTGAGAGATACCAAGAACCTGTGTCGTGGAAGATAACAGTTGATCCGCCAAGCCCTGACACGCCACCCTCAATGTGTATCTCTCTCTCTCTCTCGCAAACACTCAACTTGATTCTGGTTGCAGTTAGAACTTGAAAGCATAATGATGGAAGTATTACTGATAGCCACCATGCATGATCTAACGTGATTCTACAATTTGGATGTGGCGTTTGCAAACTTGTAAAATTCTGTCGTTAGAGGAGGACTTAAAACACCTGCAGTATAATAACAGCAGCTCAACATACATCTTTTCAGCATAATACTCTGCTGTGCCCCCCCCAAAAGGTCAGGTCACCACACGTCATCACTCATAGTTCCTGTACATGTGGTAGGTCCCTAATTATGTCAAGCCCACACATCATCTACGTCTAAGTAGGCAAGCTTGTACTCCACATGCTTCCCTGTTGGGCGCTGTAATGCTTTTGTGCTTCGCCTTACACAGGATTAAGGGGTTGCTCAATAAACTAGCACCTTAGCTGCGAGGGGACAAATCTGAACATGACATCTTGTGGTGGGATTTGAAGGCTTCTCATAGTCGAAAGATATTTACAACTTGATTTTCGTTTAGTTA